ATTTGACTTCTCGTTAACTCATGCTAACCGATTGAGCTATAATTCTACGTCCATGATGATTTCTGATGATTCTATCTATAAATCTGTGTTACGTATTAACTTGCGTTGTTTCTTTCCAATTAGTTGTTCCAGTGAGAACAAATATAATACCTAGTGTCAGTAGTGACTCTCAGCTATGATTCCCAGAGCCATTCTAGGGACTCGGCTATAAATCTAGGTTTATTTCTGGGCCTCAGTTACTTTCTATCTTTAGGTCTATTTATAGGACTCGGATGTGACCTCTAGAGCATTTCCTGGGACTCGGCTATAGCTTATTAGACACCTATTGGGATCACCTGTAACCCCGCGTGCCATTTCTGGAACTCAGCTATGAATCCGTGATCTCTAAGATTCGGTCCCTGGAACCACCGATCTTCGAAAGTTCTCTATCCCCCGAATACAATTTAGCCATTAACGACGAGGTGAATCAGAACCGTTCAATTTATCATAGAATTATCCAAATTTGCTCGTTTGACTCTAGCAAACTCGGTAGATGTTACGGCCAAGGTCTATACCCAAAGTTACTCTATCTCCATTAAGCGTTGCCACTTCATCCATAGAGCTGTTCTACATGTACTATTCAGCGGTCGATATAGCAAACGAATCTGACGTTTTTATTTCTATATTGATAAACGAGGAACGAGAGTGCTGGTTCTTCGGAAAATTCAATAAATAAGGCGAACAGACTATTTCACTTTATCGACGATTTCCTGTTGCACCGGATGCAACAGTCCTGTTCGCAAATCACGGTGTCGCGTTGGAGCTGTCGTTATTACTTCTTATCAAGCGGATGTGTTAATGTAAACGCGGGCAACCGTGAAAACTGATGGCCGGCGAACGTTCTGGGCCAAGCATAAATTCGAAATGACGTTAATTTTACCGTCTGATGCCGGGACGTGGTTATTTCGTGACGTTATAATACGCTGTAACGAGAGTTTCTGAATCAATTACGTCCAGCAGCCGTCTCTTACTCTTCTCGTTTTCGAGCTGATTAACAGGCTCGAAATTTCGTGGATTTAGAAATATTCCATGTTGCCTCTGCGAATTATACGTCCGCAGGTATTTATGAATTTCCTGTTTCAAGGCTGGCTTCTTATCTCGCGAGGTTACCGGAATTTTTATTATTTCATTGTTTGACAATCCGTCTTTAGAAAGTACAGTTAAATATAGGGTAATTGAAACGAATGACTGGTTCTTCGAGTATAATTTCTCCTTCTTTTTCTTTGCATCGTATTGTAGGATACTTCTTACGAATATTTGCATTTTTATTACGTGCATTTCGAGCAAGGTAATGACACATTGCAGATACTTCTCACATCTCTTTCATATTCCTCGTATTTTGTTTTATTCTCTTTGCACGGTGATAAAATCGAATAGCCTAACTATATTAATTACCTTTCGAATTATTATTACCTTTGAAAAGTGAAATAAAAAATTTTCACGAATCTTAATACCCAATTTTCACAATAATATAATATTCGAAAATTACAGAGGGTTAATTTTCGTATTTCGAGGATTTCCAGAACTCACCCCCGGTTTTAATAAGTCTACAAAAGCTTACGATCGGAACTGTACGAACCGATACATCGAACAGTCCATTGAAAATGCATTTCGAATAAAAATCGCTTTCATACTAAACTGTTTCTATACGCGAAACGAGAACACGTATACGCGATTGAACCGCGAAAAGAGCAATCGAACAAAACATAATCCCATCGAACGAGATAGTACAGAAATTCATTAAAACCGCACGCGCAATTGCCTTCGTCGTTTTCCCGAACACCTAAACGGAATACGTAATTCCGCTGTCCACGGCGAGTCCGTCTATTTATTTATTAATTAGTCGATGTATGCCGGGGCATTCGGGCGAAAAATGCGCGTGCACGGTTGCGTGTACGTGTTTCCACGACGAATCGGTCGTTTATGACGGGCATTATCGCCTCCATAAATACGTGGCCGTTTTCGCTGGACGGTCCAATAATTATTTCGCGGTACGTGAAACGCGTTCCTACGAAATCGCCCCGGCTATAATCGGAACGGAATTATCCGTGCGATACGAATCTCGCCCCCACTCGGCCGTCCGGCCCCCACCACCTATCTTCTCCCCACCGCTTATCCTCTCCCCACTGCCGGGCTCTCCCCACCGCTGAAATTAATTACGACTGAAACGGGGTCGCGTCGCGCCACGCTTTCGTCATATTTTGATTGAAGATTTCCCGATCGCGTGCCATCGACTCTCCGCGGCCTGACTGACGTTGACAAATTAAATAAATCGCTCGCTCATTGACGCGTAAAGTGTCACTCGCACGCGTCTTTGTTTCACGAGCTGTTACTCCTCTTTTTTCTCGCCTAAGTTTCTGTCGGACTGCGAGTATTTGAGTGTCTGCTCGTTCGATATTTTCGATTATTTTTATTGCCGGAATAAGGGTGCGTGACTCGCTTCTCGCTTTTCATTTTCTTCGTTTATGATCTTGTTAGGATCCGCTGTGATTCGCTCGTTAGGTCATCGAGATTGAAGCTGCATTATCGGGGAAATTTGATGTGCGAAGTGATAGGTAGGATTGAGAGTGATTAATTGTGACTTTGAAGGATTGATGAAATTTTAAGCTTTCAGGGTATAATATTAATTTAGGTATATTTAGAAGGTTCATTCTTATTCTCTAATTTTCTAATAACGTTATTATCCTTCCCGTTTTTAATGATTAATTAACACGAGGAATCAAGATAATTCGTTTCAGCTGTTATACTTTATCGGATCTACCTGCTTAATTATCCTTAACCGATGTTTCATTTTTAATGCAGTGTGCAAATCACCGATACCCATAAAATGCGTCAGACCAATTATCTCCGCTTTAATAATAGTGTTTCTCTATACTTGCGTCTATCAACAATTCATTACCAACACGTAGCTAAAACATTTCCAGCCAATTATCACTATAAAATATGTATAAAATACCCGTTCCCGAAATAATTAATAAAGAAACATACAACTGGCTCCTGTGGCTAAAATTAATTTCCTTCTCAGCTAAAAATATTCCAAAATTCATCACTGTCATTCGGAGAGACATGTCTATATATAGCATTCGAAGCAAGAAATAAATTAGGTCGTACAAAATTTCATATTCTCGGAGATTCATCCCTTTTAATCACATCCTCAATTATACTTGCATCAAACCCACGTGAAATCACGTCCATAAATTCGAATTAAAACCTATCTAAAGCTTTTTTCATAAATTTTTCACCGTTCTTCCGATTCCCAGCTTCTGGCCAAGAAACGACCCAGTTAATAGATCAGGAAAGGATCGATAAAGTACAGAGTGAAAATAACGATCGTGCCAGCATGGAGTCCCGAAATCGATCGATTTTCTTCCAGGGTTTATCGAAGCATTCGGGGATCAAGATGATCGAGCTGATTCTACTTCGCCCCTGTCCCACCTGTGCATACGCACATCGATAGCGACATTATTCCTGGAGAATGGTCGTTGCTCGTGCCGCTTCATAAATCGCTCGATTTATCGTTGCTGACTCACCGGGATCCATTCGCGGTGCTTCGTCGCCCCTTGGGGCTATCCCGTTGGACCCAGGTGACCTATGGGGAAGCCTCGACAATTCCCTCGGACCTTTGACGAGCTTTTCCTCCCGCTCCTTCTGTTTTGTAATCGTGGTAGTATTCATTTTAGCCGTGGCCACTTTTACCCGATACGCCACGTCTTGGGAGGGGGTAATTGTTTAAATCCGAGGGAAGAAATTTTCTATCCGGTTCTAGGATTTTCCTGCGTGGTATACCACCCGGAAGTAACTAGATTCTGTCTATACCGGGTGTCTCGAAAGTTAAGGGGTGCTACTGACGAAGTTTCGATTCGAAATTTTAAATTCGTGTTTCAATTTACGGGGTAGTACTATGATCGTGTACGATTAGGTGCTCTCGAATTGAAGCACGTTTTTAAGTAGAACATCCGATTCTGCTTGTCAATTAAATTCGATTACTCGTGTGCACGGTTCTGTCATTTATTTGTTTCCATTCGAAATTTTTAATTCGTGTTTCAATTTGCAGGGTAGTACTATGATCGTGTACGATTAGGTGTTGTCGAATTGAAGCACGTTTTTAAGTAGAACATCCGATTCTGCTTGTCAGTTAAATTCGATTACTCGTATGCACGGTTCTATCATTTATTTGGTAACTCTGTATCAACTGATTAAGACGTATATAGCCCGGATAATTTAATAAGGTTGGCTGGTTGTAATAATTCACTAGCTTTTTATCGGACTTGTCAATCTAAATTATAAAGCAAGCTGTCTCGTTACTTTTAGAACCGCCCATATATTTTATTCCATCGTTGATAATTATTTTAATAGGTGGTAGGTTTTATCAAAATGTTCTTGCTTCTCAGTATCTAGAGATACATATGCAATTAGATATTTTAAATCGGAATAGGTATTGAACAGATTTGGTGAGAGCAAAGGATAAGTATTTTCATGGCAGATACTTTAGATATAGTAACGAAATTGAAATGAAAAATCAATAGAATTTAAAACACAGATCTATTACACGTTCAATTTCGGAAAATTTCAGGAATTTTCCAATTGAATCATTTGATAAGGTAAGATTAGAAAATAGAAGGTGTGAGAAAGAAATTAGCAATTTTTGTCCAAAAATTTGTATTATTACGATATACGTAGATTATTTATTTGATCAAAGTGTTCAGATAAGAATAGGAAAATTTCTGTTTGATTTAATTGAAATTAAAATAAAAATTACAGGAAAAATATTGTTCCTCAGATCTCATTGTCGGCAAATTTCTTTCTCAGGCCTGAAAGAGTCACAGATATTTCTAACTAAATATAAGTAGAATAAAAGATTCTATTATACGTTAATTTCACTGTAGAAAAATCCAACTACTGATACTACTACCTCTACAGTACCTTTTACAGGTGATATTTAAAACTGGAGGTATACTCACGTTGAAGTCCGTTGTGCATTTTACCAAATCCGCCGGATGTCCGGAATAGAGCTTCAAGGTTTGCAGTAGACCCTTTAAATAAACAATCAGGAAATAGTAGACTATTGCACGGTACACAGGATTCGTCATTTTGCTTCTCGAGTCTCTGCTTCTTGCTTCTGCCTTTCGTATCCTTCCTCGTGTTCACAAACGAAACGCAATGATCACAGATTTTCAAAAAATTCACTTTTCAACTCGTCGTCAGAAGACCTTCTCAAACAAACACGAAAAATCGAACATTTTCCAGCTGTTCAACAACTAAATTCTAAATACACGTTCCATAGGATATTTCGTTCTATAAAAGCTGAATAATTCACGAGATTTAAATAATTATCGCTTTTATCTCGAGATGAACATATATGGTTCATATATACAAGATTAAACAATCGTGGAATTGAAAATAGAAAAAAAGATAAAAATAAAAAGATATACTTCGAGTATAAATAAATGGAAAACAAAGAAAATTTTTATTTAGAAGAGACTGACTTTGAAAATTTGCCAAGTACACCGACGAGATATTTCATGCCTCTGTGTTTTTATTCTTTTCTTAGCTATCGGATTTTATCGAATTTCGTTACTGGAATTACTTCGTAAGCTGTTTATTACGTTATTACGAGATAATTGTATAGTTATACGTGTATCCGTTACGTTCAGACGTTAATTTCTGAAATTAACGTTAAACAAAAAAAAAAACAAATTTCGCGAGGTTTTTGCGGTTTAAAAAAATTTTTTTATACCTCGACTTATCTTAGGTTTGAGAAACCGCGTGATTGTTCTATTTTAATGTAAATCAGTTGTCAGCTAGACATCAAGAGAAACATCCTTGGATCCTGAGCGACAGCGGAATTCACTTCCCCCGCGCGGGTAATACGCTTATCAATCGCGCGGATTCAATTCGAGGAAGCTATTTATCAGCGGCCGGAACGGGTAATCGCGAGAAAATACAGAATATTTTCGCGATAACGAATTCGGTCGCAGTGATTCGTATCCACCGGCGGAATAAATTCCGGCCCGCGTGTTCCGCGATTTATTTCGCAACAAATCTGGATTATGCGTCGCGAGCACGCTGACGTTTACATCAGGATGTAAGCTCTTCTACATGGATCTGCAAATATTTTTCTCGCCGATAAACCTGTGCTTTCTCGCGGATAAACCCGTGCTTTCTCGCGTCGAATAAATCGTCGGCCGTAAAACGCGCGAATTAATGCCAATCTCCCTTTGGCCGATCGGTTCCGAAGAAATGGCGCGAAAATCGAAATACCGCGCGAAAAATGCCTGAAAACGACTGTGGAACGCGACGGATATACAGGGTGTACTAGAGTTCTCCGCAGAGCTGAGAAGGCGCGCGGTGGAGAGTGGGGGTACCTCGGCGGCTCCGCCCACTTACTCCCACTCTAAGCTGCGTTCGCATTGTCGTAGAACTCCTGTGGAATCTTCCGCGTAATACGTAGTTCCAAAAATTACAGTGAATTTCTGCGTTTAACGTTTATTAATATCTGTGATTTAGATTTAGGTTTAATACAGAATTATCTTGTCGTCGTTGCCTATTAAATAATTACAAATAATAATCAACGAAGAAAATTTGTGTGTCTTATATTTATAACTGTGTTGAAGAAGGTGGATCTATTGATTAACGACTAACTAGGCGCCCAATCTTTTTAAGGGACTCTTTGCCACTTCTGCGTGACATAGTATTCGCTAATGTGCTCCACGAATAAAAATAAAATAAATTTTTTGGAAACCGAAGATTTGTAACAGAAATATAGAATTTTAGGTAAATATTGATCAAATTTCGTTGGGAGTTTGTTTATTATGTAATTTATTTACATAGAATTAATTTTTATATTGTATTAAACTAAGAAAAATCCGTGTTCCATATTTTTGTTACATTATCACTATTTAATAATGCATCCGTAATATTTTGGTCTCATTTGGGAACACAGTGGTTCATACAGGAAAATCTGGGACATGTTTGTATATTGACAAACATGGGATGGGAGGAAAAATAATTTTCGCGTGTGTATCGTGTAATCCGCGCGAATCACAAACAGCTTTTGGAATGTAACACGCGATCTTGCTGGGATTTTAATTAAACGATAGCCCGGTGGTTTGACTAACAGCTCGCTTGGAAAATTTTCACAAGCAACTTTGCGTTCCCTGTCTCTGTCCAGGCTAATTCACTTCCGCTTTTCTCTTTTCTCTCCTGGCTCGGAACTTTGATCGAAAGTTCCCCATCGTCGGGAACGCGCAATTTTTCTCGCGATCGAATAAATTCCGCGAAAGTTATTTTACCACGATTTTTATTTCCCTTTATTTTTTCCGTTGCTCGATGTTTTGTTTTTAGAAGAATTTATCGAATGACTGTTTCAAATGCGTCGTTGGTTGTGCAGGATTATTTTTATGGGATCAGTTTGGAGTTTTAGTACGAAAGCTATGCAATTTTTATAGCTTTTTTCGGTCGAAAATCAGTGGTATTATATTTTTCATAAGAAAGAAAGATAAATAAATTTCAATTTTAGTTTCATCTGTATTATAAAAGAAGTAATCATCTAAATGAGCTAGTATTTCGTATAAATTTTCATTTTGTACAATTATACCGGGTGAAATAATTAAACAAACTTTCCCCGCGGGAATAAATTTCAACGAAACGTCCTAACACTTACTCTCAATTATCACACTCCACATTTCTCACCCTCTATCATGCGCGTTCAATCATTCATCCAGCCACTGCGAATAAATCAAGTTCCATCTCCTAAATTTACCTAATTAATCAAAATTTACCTAATTAACCTAAATTAAGTAATTGTTGCGTGCGCGTAATTTTCTGTGGCCGCACCTCGCACTCTGTTTTCTCCTTGTGCGAGTAGTTAGTAACGGAATTTGGAGAACGAGTTAGTGTTGTTACTCGTTCGCCCGTTTCCCACGATTCGTCTGTCGCGTGCGAGATTTTTGCATGAAAAAGTTGTAAAGTATTTCTATCAGATGGCTCGAGATGAAAACAACGATAGCACGTCGAGATGGAAACGAACAGTATTTGTGGCGCGAACGCGGATGCGGGTTTCAGGTGGTTGGAGAAAGTCAAGTTTTGGTTTTCTCCAGGATTGATCGATACTTTAGAGTTGCAAACTATAAATGCCCGTGTTGCACGGATGTGTTTACCTTTTACCCGTATGTTCTATGGCCTCTTGTTTATTTAATTTCTGGACAAACTAGTCAGCAAACTTTGAGGATAATTTGCTCGGAAATCCGGTTCCGGTCAAGTATCAACAAATTTAGTGGAAAGATCAATAATTAGAAGAGCAAAATTGGTTAACCTCTTCAGGAACGAATTTCTTTTAATTCAACGTTAGCATGATTTCAAATCAGTGATTATAAAGTAGCATAAACGGTGATATTCAACGACCTTTTTGTTTCTACTGTTGAGGAATTCTATGGTGAATAGATCTCCAGTTGATTCAAATTTCTTTCTATTTATAATGATCATAATTTTTAAAAAACTAGACGTGCATATCTGTGGCTAGGTATCAACAAATTTAGAAGGAAGATCAGTAATTAGAAGAGCAAAATTGGTTTAACCTCTTCAAGAACGAATTTTTTAAAATTTAATATTACAATGATAGCAAATTAATGATTATAAAATAGCATAAACAGCGATATTCAACGAGGTTTTTGTTTCTACTATTGAGGAATTCTATGGTGAATAGTTCTCCATCTTATTCAAATTTATTTCCATTTATAATGATCATAATTTTCAAAAAAATAGACATGCATATGTTTGGTTAAATATCAACAAATTTAGAAGAAAGATTAGTAATTAGAAGAGCAAAATTGGTTAACCTCTTCAGGAAGGAATTTCTTTTACTTTATTGTTACCATGATTTCAAATCAGTGATTATAAAGTAGCATAAACCGCTATTAGCCGTGATATTCGACGAGGTTTTTGTCTTTACTGTTGAGGAATTCTATGGTGAATAGTTCCCCAGCTGATTCAAATTTCTTTCCATTTATAATTAATCATAATTTTTAAAATACTAGACGTGCATGTGTGTGGTTAGGTATCAATAAATTTAGCAGAAGGATCAATAATAAGAGCAAAATTGGTTAACCTCTTCAGGAACGAATTTTTTAAAATTTAACATTACAATGATTTCAGATTTGTGACTATAAAATAGCATAAACGGTGATATTCAACGAGCTTTTTGTTTCTACTGTTGAGTAATTCTGTGGTGAATAGTTCTCCAGTTGATTCAAATTTCTTTCCATTTATAATGACCATAATTAAAAAAAAAAACTAGACGTGCATACACGTATCAGTATCCCTGAAGAGGTTAAAACAATGACTAAAATATACAGGGTGTATCAAGAGGTCAGGGTCATAAAAGAAATTCCTATAAACTTATCCATCGAATAAAAAGCTATGAAAGTCTTGCAAACATTCGTGACACACAAGCAAGACCTTGCTTTTCGAAAGTCGATATACTGGCAATTTTAAACTCGATCGATTTATCAAGCGTGATAAATTATATCATTCGCAACCTATAAATTTCTTCCATACGAAATAATTTCAAAAGCTAGATCCCTGACCGAGAACACCGGCCAACAGAGAAAGCAAAGTAGAATAAAAAGGAAAGGAAAAAGAAAGTAAAAATGTGACCGAAATACGGGGAACAAACGTAGGAGCGTTTGTCTTCGGGAAAAAAGGAAAATGTCGCATCGATCATTCAAAAAGTTCGGCGGGATCGATCGATCTTCCTAAATGGGCCGGGTAACGCGCGCGCTTTTACCCTCTCCGCCTGTAGGTACAAGGTTTTTTTCAGGTCGGACGCCGCGGTGCACCGCGGATTTTTTCAGTCGGAAAAATCCCCGCCCCCTCCACCTGCCCCTACCCCCACCGCGGCGCCATTGCGCCAAGCGGATTTGCACCGCGGCAAAAAGTCGTTCTCGCGTCGCGGCGCCGCCGGAAACGCCCGATCGCGGTTTTCCCACCGATTAAACCGGCCGCAAGACACGGTACGCGCGCGCGTTTAACCGCGCGGCTTTAAACTGCGATCGCGCCGCCCCGCGAAATTTAATGCCGGACTTAAGGGATT